CACTTTTGTTGCTCTTTACTTTGTTTTGCTTCATGACCCTCCTTGTTCTGTTAATGTTATTCTCCTTCAGCCGTTTTTTCTTCACCCAATGTACAAAGAGAAAAAAAAATGTGATGTATATTTTCATGTAATTTGATTTTGGAATTCTGTCACCTTCTGTAGTGCGTTCTTCCAAAATATAATTTTTTTCCAATAAGCCTGTTGTGTTTTTATTTTTGAGTCTAGCAAAACAAATGGCAAACGCACTCATCAACTCATAACCAGCTTTAAAGCAAGGTGCAGATGGAAAGGCTTTACACAGTAAAACAGCAAAAAGTTTCTCAGCACACACCAACCAGCATGCAAAAAACCTGTCTAACCGCTAAGGTTAAAAACAGAGGTTTTAGATGCACGTCTTCTGCAGAATATGTGAAAGCTGCGCCAAGGCACCTTCTATATAGTGCGGTCCTCACTTTAAACTATGAGAGTCTCCATGGAGCACATGTAGCAAAAGATAAAATTGGGTGCAGGTTTGTCAGGGGGCAGTCCAACCTCCTTAAAGGCACAGGGACACACAAGGGACCCTGCACATCACAACGGCATCTGAGACCCCCCCCCCATGTGTCACTGCACCAAATCAGTCAAGCAAAACAAATGGCAGACAAATCATAACCAAATTTAAAGCAAGGTGCGCATGGAAGGGCTTTACATAGTAAAATAGCAGAACGTTTCCCAGCACACTCACCAGCCAGTGTGCAAAAAACCTTTTTGTTATTTTTGAGTCTGCCGCAGTGGGATTTTCAATAAATTGATGCTCAGCTGTGAATTATTTTCTTTAAAAAATATTTACACAGCCTAACCCAAGTCACAAATCTACACGCACAAGTGAACACATCGAAGGGATTACTCCTGGCCCTGGGGCTGTCCTCCTTTCTTCCATCACTGTTGCGATTTGGAAAAAACATGTGTATCAGGTGTTGGGTCAGACATGCTTGTTTTGGTTCAGGAACTGTTAAATACTCAAAGTATGATGACGACAACTACGGAGTCTGCAGCTTCAAAAACAAGTCGAAAAAAAACAATTTCCCTGTTTTCTAGCTCGACCGTTTTTGTTTTTTAAGTCTACAAACTAAGTACAAAGGCATGGCAGCTAGAACATTCAATAAATATCTGTAAACCTGTTAGGGGGGAGTTTTTAATGCTAACTTTCAAATCCAACTGTCTGTTTTGTTCATGTAATGTTACTGTGGTAACAACAACAGAGCTGTTTCAATACGTGATGTCTGCAAATATCTGTGTGTTTTCAGTATTGAGTGAATTGCTTTCGGGACCAAATTAAGGCTACTACCTAATCACTTCCCCTTACTTGTATGCAATTATTTGAATCCTGGGACCTTTTATACCCTGTTGCCAGTAACATGAAGGTAAAATGATGCATCATTTGTATTTATGGGAAGTAAGAGTTGGATCCTAAAATGTATTATACTGCAGTAACAGGGTTTCTATCGAATTTGGGGTAGCTGTACAAGTACATTCTTCTAGCATCTACATGTCCGCTGGTGATAAATATGTATCTGCTTGCTAAGGGTTAATACACCATCTTTCAGAACAGATGTCCCAGAATCCTAGCAAAAAAAACCTAATACGTTCTGTGTGCTGCAAAGCTTGCCATCCCTCCTCCTGGCTTATGCTAATTAGATTATTGTTCACATTCTAATTGGTAATAATAACTGTTCTTTGGTTTTTAGGTCATTTTGTGTCGTCCTCCCTCCTTTGCCCAATTTCATCATCTATAACACCCTTAAAATTACGATGCCTCAAGGAAGCCAACAAAATGTGTTGCACGACAGTTGGTTAGTAGCCAGACACAATAGACTTGCCCACACTGAGATATGCGCTTGGCTTCCAGCTGGGCAAGACTTTTTTGCAGCAGCCAGCTGGCAACCAATTACTGCACAAAAGATGCTTCTTGTCTATTCTGTGTTCTGGCAATACCGTTAAGTACGGGTCATTAAGAAAATGCACAATACCTTCTTTCCATTGCTCTAGCAAAATCTTTCCCCTTTTTTTTTTTCCTCTTTCTTTTGGTAAAGCTAGAAATTTTATGCATCGTGTCTACAGTATATTGTGAATGCTAAGAAGGGCTTCCTCTGAAAGAAGAACGGATTGGAATCGTGGAGAGGATTTGTAGATAGTCTAGTCGATTTACACCCCTGTTTGTAAAGCACCAGGTTTCTACTAACACATGAGAATGGGCAGTCGGCTGCTGGTTCAGTCACAACCATGGTTTCTTCATTCACTGAAACTGTTAAGGAGCCTATTGCAGTCCTACACCTTGAACTTTTTAATAACCGTTAACCCCATAACAAAGACTAGAGGCCACCATCTAAAATTGGTGGAGAAAAAAAAAAATTCAGCACAAGGGGTGCAGGGTTTCTTCTCAGAGCGGTTAGGGTCTGGAACTTGCTGCCACATGCAGGGATTTCAGCTAAGAGTGAGGAATCATTCAAGAAGCTCTTGGATGAGTTCCTTAGAGGCCATAACATTCAGGGGTACAAGTACTCCCAAGAACAAGATCACACATGGACTCATACACACACCAGCAGAACCATACATGCAATAGGTTGGGCTTATGTCTTTTATTCAACCTTAAATACTATGTAATGAAGGTATTGCCTTAGTTGCTTAACCACTCGCTGTCCGGATTGATTTCTTAATATTTGCGCAAACATTATAAAATCTGAATTATTGGCTAGAAAACCGCTTCAGACCCTCAAACAATGTATATATTGTCTGAAAGCAGAGGCCTTGTAAAATAAAAAAAATGCTAGTTGCAAGTTTTGTTTTTTTTTTTTTTTTTTAATTATATGGTGTTTGCAAATTGTTTATCAAACCAGTATGTTTAGGATACAATACACTAAAATGACATTTAGTGCACAGAAACAGAATATAATACCCACATTTTTTGGTAAAATATAAAAGACGGGAGTCATGCCGGGTAAATAGAGGCCACACATGTCAAGCTTTAAAATTGCGTTTGACCATGTTACTTTAATTTTTTGCGTTTTACACAACTTTATTGCTATCGCATATGAGGCTAATAAGCCCCTTATGTAATAGATGTAATGTGACCGGTCCTCCTTAAGTGCCTGTTCACACGACGTCCGTTTTCTGTGCTGACCTGATCCGTACGCTCCTGCACTCAAAATGCATCCCAATGTATCCCTATGTGTTTTATGGGCTACAGTTCTCACGTGCGCAGTCCGTTCAGGTTATGACAGAAAAATACTGCATGTCGCATTTTGTACGGTCAGGAAACACAAATGCGTAAAAAACGCGTCAAACACACTGCAGCTAACATACCAACAGCCCCACCCACACCCCACTTTTTACTGGAGCGCATCAGAAACGCGGCCAAAACGCACTGCATCAGTAGCACCGCGTCTGCAGATCAGGACCTGAAACTCATGTGAACAGGCCTTAAGGGGCCTGAAAGACCTAATGTCTCCATATGTCACCTAAGGACCCCAAAGAGATCTGCTTCACCAGCTTCTCCTGGCTCTAAGCCGGAAAATGTACACAGTGACACAATACACATAATTTCCGCATCCAATGATTGGAGGAGAGATCAGGAGCTAGAAGCCTGCTCATCTCCGTACGATCTGTCAGGAAAGACCCGCTGTTCCGGTCCTGGGCCTGCACAGGGGACAGTGGAGCCTGTGGAAGGCGGAGGGGGGCACATTCTGCCGCACCATAAAAGTGATCCGACGGCTATATAGATACAAGCGATCGGGCATCTGAACAGCCATCACCCGCTGTTTAAAACGATACCAAGCAGCAGCCGTGTTGTGTTCTTGGTATAACTACTTCAAGACAGGATGTTTTTTGGACGGGAGGTCCTTAAGTAGTTAGTGACACTAAACACTAAGGCATCTGTGCATCCCTAGTATTAATACAATATAATATTTACTTTTAGTTATCCGGTTTTGCAAAACAAATCACATCAGCCTAAAAAAAAAAAAAAAGAGTAAAATAACAAACAGAAATTTAAAGTCCCCTGCCCCCCAACATACACATGCAAACATGCGTCGGTTGTGACATCAATTCACTACAAATGCTGCTAGACTGGATTTTGAAAAAGACAGCACAAGGAGGAGTACTTATAATAATAATAAAAAAGAAAATTTGCAAAGCCATCCATCCTGTAAAACTACATATACATTTGTTTTGTGTAAATGGAGGCAAAAAAACATTTTGGTGGCATTTATTTTTTTCCAGGCCGAATGTAAAATCAGGAAACTACCACACTATGGACACTAGATGGAGCTGAGGAGCAAAGGAAATGAAGGCTCTGCTGTTGTTGGTGATAAGCATGAGTTAGTAGCTCTTCTATTCATAGTGTACACTGTAAATCTTTACAGCTCCTTTTTTTTTTTATCTCCTTTGGGACACAAGTGCAAGATAGATATGTAACAAGTACATCAGTTGTCCAAAGTCCAAACTTCCTAAGACAATATACGTTAATACCTA